ACCCAGGGAATCCAGCGTGAGGCCCAGACCCTCCCAGCATAGGGACATAGGATATGTTTAATTCTCAGGAGTGAGATGTGACAACACGTGTGAAATGCCCACCAGGGGAGCTCATCAGAGGGTTCATGCCCAGGATTACTGGGGTCTGATCACATAGGGTACCCCCTTGCCAGGCAGGCACCAAAATCCAGACCCCAGAGGGAAGGTGAGCTTTAGCATAAACCACCCTGTTCCTGTAGCTGGAGCTGTGAATACTCCCTAGCACTGGGTGGCACCCCGGCTGCCAGCCTTGGCTGGCCTTGCCTTCCAGGGGACCCTGGCCCCAGGCTACTGTGACAGCACTTTTCTGCACAGCAGCTGTTTTTCTTAGTGCTTCTGAGATCTTGTCCTTATTATTACTTTTCAGCAGCTTGGTGCTGATGTGCTGTGGTGTATTAGTCTGTCCTCACTCTGTTGCAAAGCACCACCTGACATTGGTAATTGGTGAAGAAAAGAGGTTTAATTGACTCACAGTTCCTCAGGCTGTACAGGAGGCATGGCTGGGAGGCCTCAGGAAACTTACAATCATGGCAGAAGACGAAGGAAAAGCATGCATGTCTTCACATGGCGGAGCAGGAGAGAGCACAGAGGGGGAAGTGCTTTTAAGCAACCAGATCTCACGAGAAGTCACTCACTGTCACAAGAACAGAGAACAGCAACGGGGAAAGCCAGCCCACGATCCTGTCACCTTCCACTGGGAGCCTCTCCCAACATCAGGAATTACAATTCAACAGGGGATTTGGGTGGGAATACAGGGCCAAATCGTAACATTCTGCCCCGCCCCTTCCAAATCTCTTGTCTTTCTCACATTTCAAAACACATGCCTTCCCAACAATCCACCAAAGTCTTAACTCATTCCAACATTAACTCAAGTCCACAGTCCAAAGACTTATCTGAGACAAGGTAAGTTCCTTCTCCCTGTGAACCTGTAAAATTGAAACGAGTTAGTTAATTCCAAGATACAAATTGGTACAGGCATTGGGTAAGTAGACCCATCCCAAGAGGGAGAAATCAGCCAAAACAAAGGGGCTGGCAGGCCCTGTGCAAATCTGAAGCCCAGCAGGGTACTCATTACATCTTAAAGCTCCAAAATAATCTGTTTGATTCCTTGTCTCATATCCAGGCCACATTGATTCAAGGGATGGGCTCTCCACCCTTGTGGCTCTGCAGGGTACAGCCCCTGTGGCTGCTTTCCTGGGCTGGTGTTGAGTGCCTGCAGCTTTTCCAGATGTTTGGTCTAAGCTGTCAGACCTACCATTCTGGGTTCTGGAGGATGGTGGCCCTTTTCTCACAGCTCCACTAGGTAGTGTCCCAGTGGGGACTCTGTGTGTGGGCTGCAACCCCACATTTCCCCTCTGCACTGCCCTAGCAGAGGTTCTCTATGAGGGCCCCACTCCTGTAGCAGACTTCTGCCTGGACACCCTGGCTTTTCTATAGATCCTCTGAAATCTAAGCAGAGGCTCCCAAACCTCACCTCTTGCTTTCTGTCACCTTGTGGAAGCTGCCAAGGCTTAGGGCTTGTACCCTCTGAAGCATTGGCCCAAGCTGTACCTTGGTCCCTTTTAGCCATGCTGGGACACAGGGCACCATGTCCGAAGGCTGCACGGAGCAGCCGGTCCCTGGGCCTGGCACACAAAACCATTTTTCCCTCCTAGACCTCCAAGCCTGTGATGGGAGGGGCTGTGCAAGGTCTTTGAAATGCCCCTGAGGTATTTTCTCCATTGTCTTGGCTACTAACATTTGGTGCCCTCTTTACTTAACAAATGTCTGCAGCCTTCTTTAATTCCTTCCCAGAAAATGGGTTTTTTCTCTTCTACCACATGGCTGCAAATTTTCCAGACTTTTGCACTCTGCTTCCCTTTTAAATGTAAGTTCCAGTTTCAGGTCATTGTTTTGTTTATGCAAGCGAGCATAGACTTTTAGAAGCAGCCGGGCCACCTCTTGAACATTTTGGTGCTTAGAAATTTCTTCTACCAGTTGCCCTAAATTCATCTCTCTCAAGTTCAAAGTTCTACAGATCTCTAGAGCATGGGCACAGTGCTGCCAGTCTCTGCTAAAGTGTAGCAAGAGTGACCTTTGCTTCAGTTCCCAATGAGTTCCTCATCTCCGAGACCACCTCAGCCTGGACCTCACTGTCCATATCACTGTCAGCATTAGAATCACAGCCATTCAGCAAGTCTCTAGGATGTTCCAAGCTTTCCGTCATCTTCCTGTCTTTAAGCTCTCCAGACTGTTCCAACCTCTGCCTGTTACCTGGTTCCAAAGCTGCTTCAGCGTTTTCAGGTATCTTCATAGCAATGCCCCACATTTCAGCACAAATTTTTTGTGTTAGTCTGTTCTTGCACTGCTGTAAAGAACTACCTGAGACTGGATAATTTATGAAGAAAAGCAGTATAATTGATTTTTCTCCTGAAAAGCAGTTCCACTGGCTACACAGGAGGCATGGCTGGGGAAGCCTCAGGAAACTTGCAGTCATGGTGGAAGGCGAAGGGGAAGCAGGACGCAGGGGGAGGGGTGCTGCCACATACTTGTAAACACCAGATCTCATGAAAACAGCAAGGAGGAAATTCAACCTCTCACCAGGCTCCTCCCCCAACATTGAGAAACTAGACGTGAGATTTGGGTGGGGACCCTGAGCCAGACCATATTGCATCGATTGCTTTTCTTTAGGTTTGTTATCCTTGGGTTTTGTTCGGCTTTCTAAGCCAAATGCTGTCCTGAGTGAGAGGCTCGACGCGGATGGGGGTTCCGCTCCTCCTTTGACCACAGCCTGCGCTCCCGCCCTCTGGGCGGGCCAGCGGGGTTGTATCCTGGACCAAAGGCAGACATGCCGGCTACGGTTTCTTCCGCATCACCAGCGCACCTGTTCTCTTGGACTCTGGTTCTGTGTGTGGCCCCTGCCCGCGTCCTGGTGATGTGTCTGTCGCCATGCCCTCTCGTGGGTGATCTGTGGCCGGCCCGCTCCATGGGGCCTTTGCTGTAGATGCTCGTTTCTATTCATGTCTGGAAACTCCGCTGGCTTCCCGTGTCGTCTTCCCTTCCTGCCTCACAGTCGACGTCCTCCGCCTCGGAACACGTGAGAAGACTCACCGCGTCTTCTGATTCCCTCATCTCAGCTTTGATTCTCTCCTGGTTTGGGGCTGTGTCTTCCTGCCCCTTTGTGTGTTGATGCAGTGGGGTGGTGGGTTTGCTTACACACCTTTGAGACCTGGTGGCCTTTGTTCTGAGTCCGAGAAGTGACTCAGACTCTATGGGACCTTCCGCAGGCATTGTCAGGATAAGCCCAGAGCCTCCCTGGCAGAGGGTAAAGCCGGGCCTCTGTCAGGCTGCACCTGTTCCAGGCTCGACTGGATGGCCTGGCTGGTGGGGCTTGGGTCACCACAGACCTGTGTGCAGGCTCTTGGCATGTCTGGCACACGGTCCAGGAGTGGGCCGGGAGCTCTCTAGGGAGCCCGTCCTTTCTGCCTCTCAGCTGGACGTGCTGGGTCCACTGTGACTGTGGCCTGGAGCCTGCTCCACGATGAGCTGGGTGGGTGCCAGGGTCTGCAGGCCTCTTGCACCCTCCATCCAGCTGTCTGGCCTCCGTGTGTTGAGGACAGGCTCATCCTGGGTTGTGGCCGGAGCCCCCACCAGAGTCTGTGTGGCATGACTGGGTCTGTGCGGTGCTGGGTCTTGCCTGATGTGTTGCTTAGCAGAGGACGCTGGGTGTCTGCCTTCCCTTCCACTCACTGACGAGGGTCATGTCTGTCCTCTAGGCTTGTCCACTGGTCTGCCATGAGCTCGTCCCACTCTGCTTCCAGAGCAGTCGCTGTTCTGAGTGGAGAGGTCAGATCGGGACAGCCAGTGCGCTCCTGAGCTCAGCCGACGTGGTCATTTCTGTGTTGACGCAGGGAAGGTGAAGAAAGAGCTGGACCCCGACGACAGCCACTTGAACTTGGATGAGACGACCAAGCTCCTTCAGGACCTACAGGAAGCCCAGGCGGAGCGTGGTGGCTCTCGACCCTCATCCAACCTCAGCTCCCTGTCCAACGCCTCCGAGAGGGACCAGCACCACCTGGGTAAGACGCCCCCACCCACGCCAGGTCCCCAGAGACCCCAGCACAGTCTGTGTGGCACGTAGACAAGGCAGTGGGCAGCCTTTGAGTTGCAGAAAGACTGGAGGCTGCGGAGGCCACTGGGCTGTCGCAGAGTTCGGTTAGTTCTGTGACGGGCAGGCCGTGTCCGGTCCCAGCCTCAAGGTGCAGAGCAGGAGCTGGGTTGCTGGCTTGGCTGTCTGCTGGATGACAGGCTTTCTGCCAGATTCTGTCCTCGGCTCTGTTGACCCCTGTGGCGTCTGTGGACCGTGGTTCCAGTGTTCCCGCTGCAGGGGGAGAGTGGCTTCCTTGGCCATGTGTTCTCGAGCGGTTTTTTGGGGTTTTTTGTTCTCACGTATAAGCACTGAATCATTCTTTCAGCAGAGTGAATCTTGACAGTTTTTCAGCTGCAGAGGTTTAGCTCCGTCTGGAAAAGGACCAGTATTTTCAGTCCAATTAACCTCACGATCAGGGTGTTAACAGTGCACAGAGCAGGCCCTGGAGGCCGTGGGTCAAAGTTAGAGGGCCCTGATATCCCAGTATGCCTTCAGGGAGCTGCCCTGGAGTCTGGGCTGTGTCTGAGGGACCCCTGGCCGAGGGGCTTTCTCTCCGTCAGGAGCAGCCTCGGTGCTGTGTGCAGGGTGAGGGCCGGCCCCTTGCTCCAGCTCTCCACGCACAGCCCTCCCTGGGGGTGAGCAAGGTGCCCCGTGTCCTGGCAGAGGTCATGAGGCAGTCACTGGGCTCATGCTTGCTGTGGGTCTGTCCTGTGTGCTGAAGTCCTGTGTTCTGAAATTGCAGGAAGCCCTTCTCACCTGAGTGTCGGGGAGCAGCCAGACGTAACCCACGACCCGTATGAGTTTCTTCAGTCTCCAGAGCCTGCAGCCTCTGCCAAGACCTAGCTCTGGGCCAGCTTCAGCTCTTTTTTTTGTTTGTTTGTTTTTTTAGTTTTCATTTGCATGTGTGGAGTTTTTGTCGTTAGACAAGGACTTTTATCTTGTCCCCTTTGGCCTGCGGGAAGCAGCCCCGGGGAGATCATGGTCATGAATTGTCTGTGGCATCGTGTCAGCAGAGAGTCCCTGTCCACAGCCACGTGAGCCCTGAGGAGTGGAGTCACATGTGAAGGGTATCCCTGTCCACAGCCCTGTGAACCCGTAGTCAGGCTGCAGAGAGTCCCTGTCCACAGCCCCGTGAACCCGTGGTC